TCACCATTCTTCAGTGTTGGAGATACAGAGACCATGCTTTTATATATTTTATTGCATTTTAGGTTTTGGGGTACATGTGGAGAACATGCAAGATTGTTGCATAGGTACATACATGGCAATGTGGTTTGCTGCCTTCCTCCCCATCACCTATATCTGGCATTTCTCCCCATGTTATCCCTCCCCAACTCCCCAACACCCACTGTCCCTCCTCTCCCCTAGATCCACCCCCACAGACCTGTCTGTGATGCTCCCCTCCCTGTGTCCATGTGTTCTCATTGTTCAATACCCGCCTATGAGTGAGAACATGCGGTGCTTGGTTTGCTGGTCTTGTGTCAGTTTGCTGGGAATGATGGTTTCCAGGTTCATCCATGTCCCTAAAAAGGACATGAACTCATCATTTTTTATGGCTACATAGTATTCCATGGTATATATGTGCCATATTTTCCCTGTCCAGTCTGTCATCGATGGGCATTTGGGTTGGTTCCAAGTTTTTGTTACTTTAAACAGTGCTGCAGTGAACATTCATGTGCATGTGTCCTTATAATAGAATGATTTATAATCCTTTAGATAAATGCCCCATAATGGGATTGTGGGGTCAAATGGAATTTCTATTTTTAGGTCCTTGAGGAATAGCCACACAGGCTTCCACAATGGTTGAACTAATTTATATTCCCAGCAACAATGTAAAACTGTTTCTATTTCTCCACATCCTCTCCAGCATCTGTTGTCTCTAGATTTTTTAATGATCGCCATTCTAACTGGCATGAGATGTTATCTCAATGTGATTTTGATTTGTATTTCTCTAATGACCAGTGATAATGAGCATTTTTTCATATGTCTGTTGCCCTCATATATGTCTTCTTTTGTAAAGTGTCTGTTTATATCCTTTGCCCACTTTTGAATGGGCTTTTTTTTTCTTGTAAATCTGTTTTAGTTCGATTCTGGATATTACCCCTTTGTCAGATGGGTAGATTGCAAATTTTTTTCCCATTCTGTTGGTTGCCTGTTCACTCTAATGATTGTTTCTTTTGCTGTGTAGAAGCTCTGGAATTTAATTAGGTCCTATTTTTCTATTTTGGCACTTTAGTTATGAAGTCCTTGCCTATGCCTATGTCCTCAATGGTTTTGCATAGGTTTTCTTCTAGGGTTTTTATGGTGTTAGTTCTTAAGTTTAAATCTTTACTCCCTCTGGAGTTAATTTTATTGTAAGGTATCAGGAAGGGGTTCAGTTTCTGCCTTCTGCACATGGCTAGCGAGTTTTTCCAATACCATTCATCAAACGGGGAATCCTTTTCCCATTGCTTGTTTTTGTCAGGTCTGTGAAAGATCAGATGGTTGTAGATGTGTGGCACTGCCTCCAAGGCCTCTGTTCTGGTCTATTGGTCTATGTCTCTGTTTTGTTACCAGTACCATGCTGTTTTGATTACTGTAGCCTTGTAATATAGTTTGAAGTCAGGTAATGGGATGCCTCCAGCTTTGTTCCTTTTGCTTAGAATTGACTTGGCTATGTTGGCTCTCTTTTGCTTCCATATGAGTTTAAGGTGGTTTTTCTAGTTCTGTGAAGAAGGTCATTGGTAGCTTAATAGGGATAGCATTGAATCTATAAATTACTTTGGGCAGTATGGCCATTTTCATGATATTGATTCTTCCTAACCATGAGCATGGAATGTTTCTCCATCTGTTTGTGTCCTCTCTTATTTTGTTGAGCAGTGGTTTGTAGTTCTCCTTGAAGATGTCCTTTACATTTTTTGTTAGTTGTATTCCTAGATATTTTATTCTCTTTGTAGGAATTGTGAATGGCAGTTCATTCTTGACTTGGCTCTCTTTAAGTCTGTTATTGGTGTATAGAAATGCTTGTGATTTTTGTATCCTCAGACTTTGCTGAAGTTATCACTTGCAGGAGATTTTGAGATGATGCAGTCTTGTAAATATACAATCATGTTATCTGCAAATAGAGACAATTTGACTTCCTCCTTTCCTAATTGAATATCCTTTATTTATTTTTCTTGCCCGATTGCTCTGGCTAGAAGTTATAATACTATATTTAATAGGAGTGGTGGTGGAGGGCATCCTTGTGGAGTACCAGACTTCAAAGGGAATGCTTCCAGTTTTTGCCCATTCAGTATGATATTGGCTGTGGGTTTTTCATAAATAGCTTTTAATATTTTAAGATACATTCTGTTAATACCTAGTTTATCGAGCGTTTTAGCATAAAGGCTGTTGAATTTTGTCAAAGGCCTTCTTTGCATCTGTTGAGATAATCACGTGGTTTTTATCTTTGGTTCTGTTTATGTGGTGGATTATAATTATAGACTTGTGTATGTTGAACCAGCCTTGTATCCCTGGGATGAATCCTATTTGATCATTGTGGATAAGCTTTTGGATGTGCTGTTGCAATCGGTTTGCCAGTATTTTATTGAAGATTTTTGCATCTATGTTCATCATGGATATTAGCTTGAAGTTTTCTTTTCTTGTTGAGTCTCTGCCATGTTTTGGTATCAGGATGATGTTGGTCTCACAAAATCATTTGGGAAGGATTTCCTCTTTTTGGATTGTTTGGAATAGTTTCAGAAGTTGTACCAGCTCCTCTTTGTATGTCCGGTAGAGTTCAGCTGTGAACCCATCTGGACCTGGGCATTTTTTGGTTGGTAGGCTATTAATTGCTGCCTCAACTTCAGCCCTTGTTATTGGTCTATTCAGGGTTTTGACTACTTCCTGGTTAAGGCTTGAGAGGATGAAAGTGTCCAGGATTTTATCCATTTCTTCCAGGTTTACAGGTTTATGTGCATAGAGTTGTTTGTAGTAATCTCTGATGGTAGTTTGTATTTCTGTGGAATCTATGGTGATATCCCCTTTATTGTTTTTTGTTGCATCTATTTGATTCTTCACTCTTTTCTTTTTTATTAATCTGGCTAGCAGTCTACTTTGTTGATCTTTTAAAAAAAACCAGCTCCCGGATTTATTAATTTTTTGAAGGGTTTTTTTGTGTCTCTGTCTCCTTTAGTTCTGCTGGATCTTAGTTATTTCTTGTCTTCTGCTGGGTTTTGAGTTTTTTTGATCTTGCTCCTCTAGCTCTTTCAATTTTGATGATAGGGTGTCAATTTTAGATCTTTCCCTGCTTCTCATATGGGCATTTATTGCTATATATTTTCCTCTAGACACTGCTTTAAATGTTTCCCAGAGATTCTGGTATGTTGTGTCTTTGTTCTCAGTGGTTTAGAAGAACATCTTTATTTCTGCCTTCATTTCATTGTTGAGCCAATTGTTCAGTTTCCATGAAGCTGTGTGGTTCTGAGTTAGTTTCTGAGTTCTAATTTGATTGCACTGTGGTCTGAGAGACTGTTTGTTATGATTTCCATTCTTTTGCATTTGCTGAGGAGTGATTTACTTCCAATTATGTTGTCAATTTTAGAGTAGGTGTGATGTGGTGCTGAGAAGAATATATATTCTGTGGATTTGGGGTAGAGAGTTCTGTAAATGTCTATTAGGTTTGCTTGGTCCAGGTCTGAGTTCAAGTCCTAGATATCCTTGTTAATTTTCTGTCCTGTTGATCTGTCTAATATTGACAGTGGAGTGTTAAAGTCTCCCACTCTTATTTCTTTTTCTCCTCCTCATCAGTCATCTTTCGTCAGTCATCAGACCCCCACCTGCCTTATCTCTTTTTGGTATTTTAATGCTTCCTTCCCTTTAGTCTCTCTTTTATTAACCTTCTCTTATTTAATATGTTTCAGAGGCAAAAAGAGTAATAAAAATTTGGAGCCCTCATTATTTTTAAAAATGTTTTTTGACTCCTCAAACAATGTTTTCCACAAATACATGTCAGTTTGTCCAATTTGCTCTGTCTTAATTTTTAATTGTTTTACAAAGTTGATATCCTTAGGATAATTATCAAACTAATATAATGAGGGATAACATGTTAAAAATGATTTAAGTAAGCATAGTATCATAAACCTTAGAAATAAAAAAGTCTCTACCTACTAATTTATGATAAGTAGAGACTGATAATACAGTGACATGGATAAAGTTAAAGCCTATGTATTATTAATAGCATAATTTATTGGTAACAAGTAAAAATACATTTTATTTAAAAATTTATCAAATTTTACCTTGCTAAAACTTATTAAAAGTAAAATAATTTATACTGGTATTTTTATACTTAGTCAACTTCAAGTCCACTGGGCTGAAGAAACCATAACCTTAATTAAGACATCAAAAATGACTTTAATGAAATTAATTAAATGGCTTCTTTGATGTTATCTTCTAGTCTTTTTGGTATCAATGTAGACATAAATATGCTAATATACTACAGTTATATGTAGGAAATAAGCAAGTATGCTAAGCATTTATCTTTCAACTTCTATTGTTCTAGAAGAGACTTAATAAAGAGAATATGAAGCAATATGAATCTCATTTGAAAAACATGATAGCCATGCATATATAGGTTTTTAAAATGAGGAAAGATCTGTAGAGATTAGAAAGAGTATAATATATTATGTAGAAAATGTAAAAGGAGATACATTCCATTGTATTCTTTCTTATAGATATTTTATAAAATGATAGATAAAATATGTAAGAGTGGTATGTTTTAAATAAAATACTACATTGACAATTTAGACAATTCTAGAAGGCATTTGGTTATGAACTTTTTTCTTTAAAAAGGCTCTCTAGTCTACAAAATATATGAACATCATTTTTGGTAAAATACAGAGTGTATGCTTCATATCCTTATCTGTGAACCACTCTGGTTTCTATCTATTTACTACCACAACTGTTTCCAGAATTTATGGTTTCACATTTATCACTGCCTGCACAATGGAACCGCTACTTTTATAAAGACCTATATATTGCTGTGGCTATAACTGAATACGTTTTCATTGTTGTTTTTAGTTGCTGTCTCTAAAGACTCTTCTGGCTATTTATCTCAGTGTTCACACACAGAAATTGAAATGTACAAAAGTGGAAGTTATTAAATAGAGACCACACAAGAAAACCAACTCTACCTGAATGAAGGCCTTTTTATGACGTCATTTCAGCTGCGGGATCTTCAATTCTTACAGTGCAAAAGCCAGAATCTCTAGACAAGGAAAGAAGGGCTTATGAGTTGTGTTCTAGTGGGCACAGGAAATGGTAAGTCTCAAACCCAAAGACACAGTTAAAAAGAAATTTTGAGTGACATGTTTGGAATGGAACCTAGGTTTCTGCATTTCTAAAAAGCTCCAAAGAGCTAAAAATAATAGCAAACACTGAGTAACAAAGGTGAGGTGAAATAGTCTGAAACTGCATATGAAGGAAATGGTGTTTTCTTAGGTTCTTGTTTATTTGGTGTTACTGTGTGAGTCAGTGAAGACTATAAGGCATCCTCCTGAACCCCCAGCCACTCAGCTACCTTTTATTCTTGCAACTAAATTCAGAAAATACTCAAGCTCAGCATTGGCCGAATCAGAAACAACTCTAGATCAAACTTACACTGCTTTAAGAATTAAAATGTTTTTTTGATAAACATAGGCACACACAGTAGTCAGAATCACAAGGCAAAACTTCACATAATCATTTACTGTAGGTCTTTTAAGCCATACATTCAATATTTCATATTTTTATTACTTTGTAGTAGCATTGTTAAAATATAAGCTTGAGAGGATTAAGTCCTCTCAAGCTTCTAAGACCACTGCCCCCTAGCCTTCTACATTGTATTTCAATAGGGGAGGTAAAATCTGGCAGACTGGCCACCACCCTTAATGGCACTCCTATAGATGGCAGGCATGGCATGGAGGAATCTTTCCAAAAGGCATTGTTTTTACTTAAACACGATCAGACCCCCACCTGAGTCACGTACCCCATGCCTACTTCATGGATCAAGACCCCTTCACATGTAATTTCTAGAATTGTAAGCCGTTATAAGGAGTTAGGATTTTCTAATCAGGGAGCTCAGTTGTTAAGATGTGCATGCCTGCGCAGCTCGCAGCTGAAGAAATCACCACTTCATTCCCAGTTCGGTGTTTGAGAGGTTTGTTTGTGGCTGTTCCTGCTTCATGCAATGGAGATAAATTTAATTTTAAATTTAAGGTGTAGGGACTAAGGGAAACACTTTCCTTTGTTCTCTGAAATTTTGCTTTAGAGTCAACTCACAAAAGACTGATTGATTTGAGAAAAGGTATACAATTGTGTTAACATGCACATCTGGAAGAACCAAAGTGATTATCCCCAACCTTTCTTTGAGTGTAGTTCAGGGCACATGTGCCATAGTGAGATTACAGAAATAATCGGGCTTGGCTCTGACAAAATAGGTTACAGGAGGGGAAAAGAGGAGACCTGACTAGCAAAATCTGCTTTTGTTAGGCAGATGTCATCCCACAGGCTGCAGCCCTGAAAAGAAGTGGTAAATGTTGCTTTGAGATCTTGAACGCTGTCTATCAGTTAATCTTTGTTAGGGTTGTTCTGCAAGGGAAGGCTTCAGAGAAACTTGGCCACATCAATGCATATTTGCTACAAATACAAGTCTCCCTCACAAAAGACAGCTTTGCAGGGCTCCTTCTGTTTATAGGCCTTCTAAATAGCAATGTCAAAATATGTTAAGTATATTTTGGGCTGAAATATTTTGATTTTCTTCAAAAGCACAACTCTGAACAAATGCAAGTATAAACAGGAACAGAGCCATAGCATGGTAACTTAGCTAAGAGAGGCACTTTTTTATAGCCTGGGATGCCTTATTTTTCTCTGATTCATGCATAATGCAGAAGTTCATAACTCCTCAAATTAGGAAAATGTGTTCTCAATTTGTGCAATTCCATTACATTTTGTGTCCTGCCACTTTAGCCATGGAATGGACATCATTCCTCATTGAAATACCATAAGACCCCTGCCTGAGCAAATCTGATTGAACTTTCTGTTTGCTAAGTTATTGCCTTTCTTACATTCATTTAGAAATGTAAGTAATAATGAATGCTTTTAAACAAAGAATTTTAACACTTCTTACTTTTATAGTTTGTTGGACTATAGACGACACTTTAGAGTTAATAGAAAGGTAAGTGCTATTTGTGAAGAATTCAAGTTTGTAGAAGAATGTTGGTGCCTGAACAAAAGTCCAAGAAAGACTTACTCTTATGGAAAACCAGGAGATAATTCTAAAGGAAAACAATGGTTACAAACTGAAGAGCTCAACATAATATCAAATTCCTACTCTCTAGCCCCTCTTACTACACATGCAACTATGGGTAAGCAATTTACTGTAAACTTCGGTTTTCTTACCTGTAAAACAATGAAGGTGATGATCATCCCTGTTTCATGTAGTTCCTAAAATTAAATGAAATAATCTATGTGAAAATGCTAGCATAATGTCTTCTCCATAGAAATGACTCTCTACAATCACATTTTATCTTGTGGGGAAAAAAAAACAAAAGCATTGAGTGGGTAGAATCCAGGAAGGCAGTGGGACATCCTACAATGCACAAGACAGTTTTTACACAACCACCCCTGCCACAATGTAGAAGTTGCTGGCCTAAAATTTCAATAGTGTCACTGTTAAGAAATGTTGTTTTAATCCAGAATTAATTCTGGTTACACTTTACATTTTGGTAAAGTATAATTTTCTTTGCAGAAAAATATTTATAATTTTATTATGTCATTTGGAAATTATCAATAGAAGTAAATTTTTCTGTGAATGATTTGTAGAAAACCTTATTAACTAATATCTAAAGGAATAAAAGATAATCTTTATATCTCTATATAATACTTGAGTAATCAACAAACCCCTCAGAAATGCACAGTCTCTTATATAGACAATTAGGGTCTTAACATTGTAGATATAAGTGGCAATTTCTTGTTTACTTCTCAATTACTTAGGCTGTTACTCATAAACTGACTTTGCTACAATGGTACTTATATCACTTGGTAAAAACTTACGTAATTATAAAACTAATCTCTAGTAACAAATACAATCCAATAATAACACTATCCAAAAGAAAATTATTTAATAATCAACAGTTTCAGGTTTGCATTTCAAATTGTTTTTCCTGAATCTTTTTTGTTCTTCCTTTTCTGTGACATTCTTACTAATGCATCAGTTCAAAATGATTATTTAACTGTTTTGCCATCCAAGGTACACACTAGGATCAACTGGGGAAATATAAAACTATCCACCATGAGATCGCACCCACTAACAGAAAATCGGAATCACTTTGGGAAATGTCTAATCATCAGAGTTCTTTTTAGGTGCCCCAGGTGATTCTCACATACTCTATGTAGGTCTTACCATCTGCTTTATGCAAAGGATAAGTAAATTAGTATGGAAACAGTAGTCTCATTGGCTAATCCCCATTCTTACAGTAATCAAAGCAAAAATTGGACCAAAGTTTAACAAGCAGGGAAGACTTTATTCAAGGCTATGCAATAGTGGGGAGAAATGAAAAGGCGTTCTACACAAAAAGCAGAACAGATGTTAAGGCCTGGGGCAGGAAGATCTCTTAGGCCTTACCCAACAGAGAGTAAGCTGTCTCTTATCTCCATGACAGGATGTAATTTTCACACTTTGGAACAAGGGATCCACCTTAGGGTCCTACTCTCTAATAGAGACTGGAAGATCGAAGTGGGATCTCCTTCAGCATTTACATTTCAAAGTTTCAAAAAAATGGCTCCACTAGTAGGTCCTTGAGAATGACCTACTAGTGGAGCCACTGTTTGGTTGTAAAACTGTCAATAAGCTTTTAAAAAGATTTATACCTCAAAAGGAGTAGAAAGGATTTACAAGCTTTTCTAAAGTAAATAGTCTGAGGAAAAGGAGGTCAGATCCTTGAGTCAGAAAGAAGGCTGCCTGAAGTTTAGCCAGGCTGAGCGTAATGGTAAGGCCTCCTTAGACACAGATAATGAAGTGCTCCGTTTGTTTTTTTCTCTTAGAATGGCTTTTCTCAAATTTTGCTTCACCTTATATATACCTACGAATTTTACAAAAATACCAATACCTGGTCCATGCTTGGGTGCTTTATCTATTGAGTTCACAGACTTTTGACTTTTTAAATTTAAAAACATTATCTATATTCAGGCTGTAATTATTCTCTGCCACAGATTTCCTCATTTTGGCATCATAAATATTAACTGCCTCAGCTTGGAAGCTTATTTGTAATAATCTGCTAATAAGATCAGTATAAGTGTCTTTTCTACAAGAAATATTCTTGCAACTTTATTTTGGTTTCCTATAACAGTCTTTCTATCCAAATCAGTGGGATGACTTTACTGGATGCACTGTTAGCTCAAGCCCATCAAGTTGATAAGCGGCATTAATTTAGTAGACATATTTGTATTTCCATGTTTACGTAACCATTTGTTATACTACTGCAATATGCAAATTAGAGTACTGGTTCCTAATTTCTGAAAATCACATTCCCTTTTGAGAAACTGATAAATGCCCCTGAATATCTTCCAATAAATGTAAAACTATCCACATCTACAAAACTTTTCACATAATTTCACAATATTCACATACCATTGAATCCCATTCCCATGCTCTAGTGGTATAAGACCCCATTGTCAATTACTTACAAAATCAGGCCCAGCCTGTTGGCTCACACCTGTAATCCCAGCAGGAAGATTGGAATTTGAAGGCTGAGGCAGGAGGATCACATGAGGCTAGGAGTTCAAAACCAGAACTAGGCAACAATGTAAGACACCATCTCTACAATTTTTTTTTTTTAATTAGCAGGACATGTTGACCCACATCCGTAGTCTAAACTACTCAGAAGTCTGAGGCAGGAGGAAGGATAATATAAGCATAGGAGTTTGAGGCTAAAGCGAGCTATGATCACACCACCACACTACAGCCTGGGTGACAGAGACCCGTCTCTAAAAGCAGAAATGAGAAAAAATTTTATAAAGTCTATATAAAAGTCACTTAAGAACACTGATTTAAAACAAAGAAGATTCTCTGTCCTAAATGATTATTAGATAATTAACCCCAAGGGACTGTTAATTTTTACTTTATATAGGTACAGATTAATTTCCTGTTGTATTAAGGTATCTTTTAAAAAGTTGTGCCTTGGTTCACACCTATAATCCAAACACTCTGGGAGGCGGAAGCTGGCAGATCACCTGAGGTCAGGAGTTCAAGACCAGCCTGGCCAACATGGTAAAACCCTGTCTCTATTAAAAATACAAAAACTTAGCTGGGCATGGTGGCAGGCACATATAATCCCAGCTACTCAGGAGGCTAAGGTACAAGAATCTTTTAAATCTAGGACACAGAGGTTGCAGTGAACTGAGATTATGCCACTGTACTCCAGTCTAGGTGACAAACCAAGACTATGTTGTCTCAAACAAAAAAAAAAAAAACCACAGGACTGGACTGTTGTCTTTTCATCTGATCAAGAGGAGAGTGAAACTGAAAATGAGAACAACAAAAAAAATGGTATGGTAGTTTTTACTATTTATTGCTCGCTTTTAACTTCACAACTAACAAAACCAAAAAAAAAAAGAAGTCTGATGAGCTAGCTCCCCTTTCTAAGTGACGAGGCCTTTATCTCTAACTGCCTTTAAGTTGTTTTTTTGTTGTTTTGTTTTGTTTTGTTTTACCTTGGGGAATGTGACAATTATAACATGGTGATGATCGTCTCATGAAGTATCTTACTGGGATTCTCTGCATTTCCTGAATTTGAATGTTGACCTGTTCCCCTAGGTTGGGGACGTTCTCATGAATGATATCCTGAAATACATTTTCCAAATTGGTTCAATTCTCCTGATTTCTTTCAGACACACCAATAAGTTGTAACTTTGATCTCTTCACCTAATTGTGTGTTTTTTGGAAATCCTGTCTTTGGCAAGGTCATGGATGAGGCTAGAGGCTCAGCTTAGCAAATTTACACAGGAACAAATAATCAAATGCCACATGTTCTCACTCATAAGTGGAAGCTAAATGGTGAAAACACATGCACACATGAAGGGGAACAACAAACACTAGGGCATTTCAGAGATTAGAGGGTAGGAGGAGGGAGAGGATCAGGAGAAATAAATAACTAATGGGTACTAGGCTTAATACCTGGGTAAAACTCTGTTTGACAAACCCCATAACAAAGTTTACCAAGGTAACAAACCTGCACTTGTACCCCTGAACTTAAATGTCAAAAATTGGGGAAAAAAAGATAATCTCACTCTTTCATCATTTTTCAGGCATTTGATGAAGCACAGATGTTACTAAAATTAAAATGAAAATATAATATTTATACATTTGTTTTTGCATCCCTCTATTATTTTGGTATTTTCATTAAGAATGTATTCATTTTTTTGTAGTTTTTCCTCTTCCTTTTGACATTGGGCTTTAGCTATTATGTTTGAGAGGTAGAAATTTTAGCCACCACGTTGTAATGCTGCTCTGGCTCATGAAGAAGCAGGCACAGTGTAGTGCATCATGACAGAGTGAAATGGAATTGCAGCTGTGTGAAGGTAAATTTTCCAGCCACACTAGCACAGATTGAAATAACTTACTCTTGACTGCTGCTGCAGAATGTGTCAGTCTAGATCGCAGACTGTACCTATCAACCACTCTCTAGTGCTGCCTGCAGCAGACACGCAGATTCCAAAGTAACAAAGGGAGGTTAATGCATTTTGGCAAAGTAACTTACAGTATTTAAACAGTTTGAGTCTTTACCTTTACTTCAAAAAGTTCTTGTCTCAAATCCAAGAACTTTTCTATTTGTTAAATTTGATGATGTCTACCTGTAGTAATGTATTAATTTGTCTGTTTTCCTACTGTTAAACCTAGATAACTATACATTTTTATTATTTTTACATGGACAAATATGCTTTGGAAACATAGAAAAAGTGGGAATGCTTGTCAAGTTTCTTGATGAAAGTGTCAACAATAAAAATTTATATGTAGGTTTTTTGAGGTTTCAATTAAATTGCAGTGTAACTTAATGTTCCTACAACTGAGTTATTGATTTCCCCAAATAAGTGAGACTTAGTCTCCAAAAATGAATATTTCCACTTTTTATAACCAGCTTATAAGAAAAACTAGAGTACCATACAATGGTGTGCTGAAGTGAGCTCTTACTGGAGCTGGATTTTACTGTCCCATGAAAGCCAATTATGCATGAATCTTCCCAACTTTCTGTCCAGTGGTGTCATTATAATAGCTTAAAATAGGCCAAAGTGGGAGTACTTACAGTACCAAAATTATTAGGCTGCCATATTCCCCTTCTCTTCCCCAAGCCAGTTGTGAATCATTTACTGGCATTCTCCTGAGATTAGATTATAAATTGATCTAAGCCAGTATAGTCACACAACATGTATCCGATGCTTTAGATAAA